TTCTTTCAGAATATTTAAGATATTATCTCATCGTCTTCTGGATTCCATTATTGCCACTGAAAAGTCAACTGTTACTCTAATTATCATTAATTTTTCAGTAGTATATCTTTTTCTCTGGCTGCTAACAGATCTCTTTGTTTCTGGCATTCACTATGATATGTCTAAGTGTGGATATATTTGTATTTATCTTACTTTGGACAGGCCGACTTCCTGAATCTGAGGGCTGGTGACTTTCACCAGCTTGGGTACATTTTTAGTCATTATCTCTTAAAATAATTGCTTTTGCCTAATCCTCACTTTTTATTTTCTCCTTCTGGAATTCTAAGATATTAGATCTTTCCCCTCAATTCTACCTGTCTTTCAATCTTTTTTTTTTTTTTTTCATATTTTCTTCTTTGTATTCCTGGGATGATTTTGAATAATCTTTTTAGGTATATTTCCCAGTTTACTATTTTTCCTTTAAATAATATCCATCTGCATGATTTAATCCACCCATTAAACTTTTAATTTCCATTTTTATATTTATGTTTAAAATTCTATTTTTATCCCAATATGATGAGTCTTGTTCATAGTCTCTTTCTTCTTATTTATATCTCCAATTTCCGATTTATTTAAAGCTAGTATACAACTTGTTTCATACCCTGAGTCTGATAGAGTCAATACTTGAAGATTTTATAGAACAAATTTGGCTGTCCAATGCTTTTGCTGGTGTTTGCTCTTGGCGCTCTCTTTTCCCCTTGTTCGTTTGTGGTTTTTTAAAAAAGATGAACTCCTATTCCTTGAAACTCTGGCTGTGGGAAGTTTTATGGCCTGGGTTAAAAGGGTCTTTCCCCAGAGAGGGTTTGTATACATTTTTGCAGATGCTTAAGAACTTCCAACAACTTTAAGTTAAATTTTACTCTTGAGATTTTTCTGGATCATGAAGTATTTTGATTTTATATTATAAATCCAAGGGAGAAACTCACAGAGGAGAATTCTTCCTCTCTTCCCAGCAGAAAATTGAGATAGGCAATTTTCACTCTATCACTGGGGGTGAGGATGGGAGTATTTCTAGCTCATCTTTATACTGAGTTAATAGGCCTTTGGAGTGACCAGTTTTATGGGAGGTGAGGTTGGGGCTGGGGGTTATTTTATTAGACTCTTCAAGCTGGGAAACCCTTAGGCTTTGTATAATGTCCTCTGTACTCTGTGAAATTGAGAAATCATAAACCTAAAGTCACCAGGTTCTTCAAATATAGTAGATGCAGACTTTCTCTAGGTTCCTACCTATTTTCACTCACACTTTAATTTCCTTGTGTTATAACAAAGCACAAGTTGGATCTCCTAAAACCACAGATTTATTCTCTCATAGCACTGGAGGCTAGAAGTCTGAAAATAAGCATTGACAGGGCCATACTCTCTCCAAAGCCTTAGGACAGGATCCTTCCTTGCCTCTTCCAGCTTCTGGTGGCCCCAGGAATTCCCTGACATTACTCCAATCCGTGCTTCCATCTTCACATGGTCATCCTCCCTCTGTGCCTATCTGTGTCCAAATATCCCTTCCAAAAACACCAGTCGTATTGGATTAAGGCCACCACAACCCAGTATGACCTCATGTTCAACTGATTACATTGGCAAAGACCTATTTCCAAATGAGATCATATTCACAGGTACAGAGGGTTAGAACTTCAACATATTTTTGAGGGGAGTCCATTGAATTTATAAGCGTCTCTAACAATTTCTTAATTCCTTACCACTTCTTGAATGCTTTCTACTTATACTTTAGCATCTTTATAGCCATCGCCTATACAATCTTTCTGCCTTTTATTCTGTGTCAGCTCTTATTGCTTGTTTTCATCTGCTTGCCCACAGTAACTCCCTTCTTTTTTTTCCCACTGAGTTGTGGAATTAGAAATCAGAAAAAAAGGGGGGGATTATTGGAAAAAAATACAAAAAAAGAAAAAGGCTTTACATTCAGTAGATATGACTGAATAGAGTAGAAGGAAATTACTGCATGGACACTGTAATACTTTTTGGGGTATGCTCAAAAGACTTTTATCCCTAGATCACTGTGGTATATCTTTTAAAAAAATTTATTTTGAGAGAGAGAGATCATGCATGGACGAGTGCGGAAGGGGCAGAGAGTGAGGGAGAGAGAGAATCTTAAGCAGGCTCCACACTCAGCTCAGCACAGAGCCTGACGTGGGGCTTGATCTTACGAATCATGAGATCATGACCTTAGCTGAAATCAAGAATTGGACGCTTAACCAGTTGAGCTACCCAGGCCTCCCTCACTATGGAATATCTATCTAGGCTTTCTAATCATAAAGATCTGGGGTTAAATCTTTTCTCTACCTCTTCTAAGCTATATGACTTTGAGAACACATGTAAACTCTTTAATTTCACAATTTTCTCATCTGAATAAAAGGGGTATTATAATAACAACTACTTTTTAGGGATATAGATGGATGGCATGGTTAGGTGCCAGAGCAGGTAGCGAATAATTGTGCAAACAACTCTTTCTGTGTTCCAAATGGGCAAGGACTTTGAATATGTTATCTTTAAATCAAAGAAATGAGAAAAGCAACATCTCTCCTTTTTACAAACACTCCTGTGGAGATCCCAGATGATGAAAGTGAGGCACTGGGATGCGAACTCCTAATACATGAAAGGAAAACACTAATAACCACACAAAACATTAAAATCTATTTTGGCGGTGGCAGGGGGTGGGTAACTGGAATTCAAATGAACTAGCCTCTCCTTCTGTTCTCAGCTCTGTCGGCCAACAGGCCGTTCAGTCCGTGCTTTTATTTTTTTATTTTCTTTTTATTATTTTTTTTAATGTTTCTTTAGTTTTGAGACAGAGAGAGACAGAGCATGAACAGAGAGAGGGAGACACAGAATCTGAAACAGGCTCCAGGCTCTGAGCTGTCAGCATAGAGCCCGACGCAGGGCTCGAACTCACAAACCGTGAGATCGTGACCCGACGTGAAGTCGGAAGCTTAACCGACTGAGCCACCCAGGCACCCCCAGTCCGTGCTTTTAAAAACACCACCTTTCCTTCAACTACAATGACATTTCGTCTCTGTCAAGAGGGAGGGAAGAGATGGAGAAGAAGAAAAGCCAGGCAATGTTTTACACCCTGAACACAAACCCCCATAATTTTAAACACTTTTTGAAAGCCTCACCCAAGCCCACACTCCAGAACAGCTTTATAATCTGGGCGAGGAAAAGCCAGAAGCCTCCCACCACCCCATGACTGTCCCACATATGTGTGAGCTCAGTCTCTGGGAAGACCTCACACATCTACTTCCTCTCTGAGTCCTCAAGCATCTCTACCCAGAGAGCACACATACTGGAGGGGGCCCCACCTGCTCCGCCAATTCCTGGCAGCAGCTCCTTGTGAAAAATAGTATGTTTGGGGACGACCATTTATTTAGGAGTGGTGCGGAACTGAGATGGTGAGGACACAAATGGTGAATAAACGACTGATGTAGGGAGAGCTGGAGGAGGGAAGGTGATAACGCAGGTGCTGTCCTCTATGAATATATTAGCTCCCTACGAAGCCCATGCATTTTGACTGCCTTCAAAGCAATCTCTCTGGATTTCAGTGAATTCAAGTGTCTAGAAGTGTTTTCTAAGCTCAGCTGCAGATAGGCTGCTCCTGCTGCCAGTCGTCAGAGCCTTAGGATTAAGGCTGGGCAGTAAGTCAAGCCCACACAGTGCTGGTCAGACCATTGTAGATGTTGTGAGATGCTCAGCAGAGATGCCTAGTCTCCCTTCAGGGCAGGGCAAGGTCTGTTCAGGGTCAGATGACTTGCCCAGTGGGGTGGGAGGACTAAGGAAGTTAGAGGTAAGAGGAGGGTATGTCCAAGCTGGAGTCCTGACTGAGAACTGGAAATACAGACACTGAAGCCACAAGGCCAAGAGTGGGTCATTAGTAGGAAAGAGCTGGATGCTGGGGTGGTTTGCATGGAGAGCTGGCAGTGATGAGGAATATCTTGGATGATGGCCATGAACTCCAGCAGATACAAGGTCCTCTCCAAGGGCTGTCCCACATGGATGTGTCAGGCTGCTTCAATTACAATGCCCATGGAGAGGACAATGGGGACCACTGTAGGGATAAGTCACAGCTTGAATATTGTTTTTCTTTTGTGAGGGTAGGACCACGGCCTAGACAGAAAGGTGGGCTTCCCTCTAGGATGAGATCCTTCATTGTCTCCATTATTAAATTCTTGCCAACCACTAGGGCACCGAATGTGTCCCTCAGACATGATGGGGGAGGTATCCTTTTGGAGTTATCTTTTCATGGGCCCAGGAAAAAGAGCCAGAGCCTAGGAAATATTCCCATGGGATGAGAAATTAAAATGATGCCTATTGTGCATTCACACCATGTGTCAATAGCTGCAAAAGACCCTCTATTTCGGGGAAGGATGGTGGCTACCTCTGAAGAGTGGTCTGAATAGGTCTGAGTGTCTGACCAGCACATGGTGACATCAGAAAATAGAATGGAGTGAGCCTGGCTGTGTTTTGCTCTTTATAGCCCACGAGTTTTATTTCCCTGGAGCTCTCTCTTGGTAAAGTCTTTAGGAAAGTTCTCTGGAATGCTGTGGAGGAGGCAGAGAATATGAGAGTGAGAAATTCCAAGGGGAGGTGACTCTAAGGGTCACTCTGGTACAGCCACCCCTCGATGCATGCAGGTCTCTTCCTGGAGCACACTTCTGCTCAGACCTGAGGAGCCTATGTTTGGTTTTAACAAAGAGGTTGTTCCCATAGTTGGGAGCTCTATTCTCCCATGTCCCCGGCCCTAGCTGAAGCAGTTTCTGAAGTCCTTTTCTTCCTGCAAATTCTATAGGTCCCCTCTTGTGTCTCTATCCCATCCTCAAGCAGCCCTGATCACACACACGAAGTAAGGCTAAGGACTAGACATTCAGCAACCTGGAGCCCCATTTCTCCACCTCCTAGGCCCATTCACCTTTTGGGGAGCTGAGCCAAGCCTCTGGGTGAGAAACCTTGCTTACCCTGATCCCCAGCTCGACATTCTCGCCTCCGTAGACCTCCATGCCCTCGTCCAGTAAGCCGATCTCCTGGAAGTACTGCCGGTCCACAATAAAGCAGCCAATGAGGGCAGGGCTCCTACAGGGGTGAGGAGAGATGGGCCAGCAGTTAGCAGAGGGGCTGCCAGAGGAGTCTGAGTGGTGGTGCCTTCCTACCAGAAGGATCTGTTCCTCTTCCTTCTTTTGCTGCTGAGCTGGAGTGGGCCTTGTTCTCTGCGGGCCCCTCCCATGCCCACCTTCAACAGAGGCTGTAGAGAGGCTGTTTCCTCAAGGTGGCCGTGGGTAGCTCCCCACCTCGGGGCCTGCCATCATTCCAGGTGGCACTTGCATGGTGTGTTAGCCCAGAGACCGAGTACTCAGTCTGCGGGCCCAGGCTGCATGTCTGCTTTTGTAGCTTCCCCGATGCCTGAGCTCTGAGCTGCACAACCAGTCTCTGTTTCTACCTGGGTACCCATGCTACCTCCCTCACCCTTCCCCAACTTGGGTCCTGCGTGTTAACCTTGGTTCACTTAGAAAGATTACCTGGGGCTTTGGACAGCACGGTAAATGATTTGCATTTTATCTGGAGGTAGAGGAGTGTCAGTGAGGAATTTTAATCCGACTTTGGTAGGAGCAGAAATAAGTCAGCCAGAGAAAGACAGATACCATATGATTTCACTCATACATGGAATTTAAGAAACAAAAGAACAAAGAAAAGAGAGCCCCCCCCCGAAAAAACAAAAACAAACAAAAAAACCCACCCCAGACTCTTAAATATGGAGAACAAACAGATCTGTGCTTTAAAAGGAATCCTGCAGCAGCTGTGGGGTGATTGGGTGAAAACTGAGGAATCCAGTTGGGAAGCTTGTTGCTATGTCCTGTGAGAAATGATGAGGCCCTTGACCAGCGTATCAGGAATGGACAGACAGTTTAAGGACACATGTTAATGTAAATCAACAGAACTTAGAAACAGGTGAACGGGTGTGTGAGAGAGAGAGAGAGAGGGTGGGAGGACTCTGGATGCCCGCTGGCTTTGTGGTTTGCATGATGGTGGAGTGGGGACCACCCATCGATGTGGGCCATGGAGAAGCTGGCTTCAGAAGGAAGAAGCATTCCCTACTGGGAAAACAGATCTGAAGGTGCCTGTGGGACACTGGAGGGAGATAACCAACAGGTAAGGTTTAGTACATGGCCTGGGTCTTAGGCCTGAGCAATTGGGTCTTAGGCCTGAGCCAATTGGTCCAGGAGCTGGAAGGTCTTTCCTTAGTGACAGTGTGGGCTCAGGGTTCACAGGCCGTGTAAAGGCACTCACTGAAGCACAGGACTTTGCTAGGAGTGATTTGTATTAGGAGAATCAGCATGAGCACATATGGACTGCCTCTCTGCTGAGAGCATTAGCTTACACAAATGACTTTGAATTGTTCCACTGCACACTGCTACCATTTCTAGCCCTTGTATATAGCATCTTATCAGCTGGTGGCTGAAGGATTTGGAGGGGAAGAGAAAGAAAAAGAGAAATGATGAATCCTCAGTGATGAGAAAACTGTCAGTCACATGCAAATGGACCCATCTTTGAAATTGGAAACTCATCAAGGTGGAGAAACCGCTATTTTGCAGGCCATTTCTTTAGACAGTGTTGATGCAGGAGGCTGCTCAGGCAGGGACTGGTGCCTTCGGGTCCCTGGCCCCCCTCCTTTTAAATCACAGCATTTTGTTCTGGATGGGCTCACCTTCCACAGACCACAGGAAGCCAGGGAGGACAATCTACTTCAATCCACTACTCCTAAAGCAGGCGGAGATCCTGCTGTAGTGGAGGACGCTTTGACCCTGGCCTTGGAGGTGCATATTATGGGAAAAATTCCCTCCTGGCTGTGTGTCACTGAGAAAAGTTCCCTAGCCTCTCTGAGCCTCTGATTCCATATCCATGAAATAGAATCAACTAGAACCTCATAAGGATTAAATTAAATAATGTAAAACCTTGAAAACTTGTGGGACAGAATTGTTAATTTAAAAATCATTTAAAAAGATGCACTTGCACAATGAAGAAGCCTGGAGAATCCCCTCCGTGAATTCCTGGTGATTTAAAAACATCAGTCCAGAAGAGTGAGCAGAGTGAGGTCTCGACTTTTTCCTTGACGTTCCTGAAATGTTGAGTATTTCCACATGGTGCACCAAGACCTGCAGGAAGGAGCCTTCCCCATTTGGCCAAACCCACTCAGGGAAACAGCAGAATCTAAAACAATTACTGTGGAATGAGCACAGGCCACCTCAGGCAGTCTATTACTTATTAACTAGCTAGGGTATGAAGTAGACCCAATCAGCCTGGAAGGGTTATTGATTTCTACCTTACCTCATTCCCAAGAAAGATCAGAAAGAGCTTACAAAAAAAAAATGTCCAATACATTGAAATACAAAATACATAAATGTCTGAAAAGACCAAGAGTTCACAACAAATTAGGAGCCAGTTAGGATGCATGTACAGTGTTAGGTCCTCCTTCACAGGTTTTAAAGTAGACCCACGGGGGCACCTGAGTGGCTCAGTTGGTTAAGTGTCCGACTCTTAGTTTTGGCTCAGGTCATGATCTCACGGTTTGTGGGTTCGAGCCCCACATCGGGTTCCGTGCTGGCAGCAGAGCCTGCTTGGGATTCTCTCCCTCTCTCTCTGACCCTCCCTCACTCACTCTTTCTGTCTCTCTCTCAAAAATAAATAAATAAAAAAATTAAAGTAGACCCACAAAACTGACACTGAGCTTCCTGGAAGCCAACGTGAAAATGAACAAACATGTCTTAGGAATAAGAAGTACTGCTCCCATGTGAAAATATCACACTAATTCCTTGAGGATAATAAGATTTTCTTTGACTAGCAGTCAGTTTGAAATAAATTTCTCATGTCAGTATTCTTAGAGGTCACTCTGGGACATAGTGAGCAACCATCTCAAAAATGTCACTTTAGAATGCGATAGAAGAGGGGCGCCTGGGTGGCTCAGTCGGTTAAGCGTCCGACTTCAGCCAGGTCATGATCTCGCGGTCCAGGAGTTCGAGCCCCGCGTCAGGCTCTGGGCTGATGGCTCGGAGCCTGCAGCCTGTTTCTGATTCTGTGTCTCCCTCTGTCTCTGCTCCTCCCCCGTTCATGCTCTGTCTCTGTCCCATAAATAAATAAAAACGTTGAAAAAAAAAATTAAAAAAAAAAAAAAGAATGCAATAGAAGATACCTCTGGGCTCTTTTGATAGCTTACGTCATATGGACAAAGCACTGATGTACAGCTCCAAGGAAATAGGAGCCAAAGTGGGCAAGGTATATTTGTATAACTCACAGTTTTCTATGAGGTTCTATTCATCTAGGATTAAGTCAGTATGGTTCTTCCAAAAACCTTCCATGAATATAATTTTCTCTCAGCCAAGTTTTTGACAAAAGTTAGGTAATGAAAACTTTGAGATCCTATTCTTTGTCAAGGACCTAGAATTAGGTTTACTATGACCAGGTTGACACATTTCAAGATGAGCAGAACAAAGCAGCGAATATCAGTGCAGTCTTCTGCAAGAACACTCCTTGTATGACAGTATACTTCCTTCCAGTAGCATTCAGCTCACCTAGGGGCAGAATTCAACCATGGCAGTTATGAGCTCAACAGTGGGAATCTATGTGGATGACAACTAGATGTGGAATCTAGCCAACCTAGGTTTGGATCCTGGCTCCACTGCCCACAGCCTGTGTGGCAGGGACATTCTCCTTTGTCCATCTTATGGGCTGTCCTCATCTTGTGAAACAGGGATGACCCAATGAGCTGTCAAAAGGTTATAATGAGGAGCAAATGAGACTGTGTGTGTAAGAGACCCTTGCACACAGTGACCTCCAAACATATATTTAACAACACAAAATTGTGGCAGGGGCTAACAGGTGGGTAACAGGGGTAACTGCAGGAAAGCTATGTGGTTCTCTTTCACCTTGTTATAAATAGGACTATGGTTTGTTTTCTGGCAAGAAAAGATGTGATCTCAGATATTAACCACCCACTTTCAATTAAATTTTTCATAATCTTTCTCCCTCATGTAATACAAAGCAACATCAGTTTCTAATCTCCTCTTTCATTCCAAGAATTGTCCCCTAGGCCACCTCTGGTGCCATCTGTGTGTTTAACGAGCAGGACTTTGCAGAGAGCATAAAGGCACCTGATCTGTGATTAACCAGACAGAAATAAGGGCTGGTGGGGTGGCTGTTTCAGGAGTCCTGACCCATGGCACAGAGGCTGCACAGTGGAGTCATTTGGGTGTCTGTGAAGGCAGTGGCAAAGGCAGAAAGAGTTCAGAATCTTTAAAATGCAGTTTGAAGCCACTTTTGACTGAGTCCTACGGGATTAACTCGAATATCAGCAAGGCATACAAGGCGCTGTGAGGTCTGGTCTTGCCTCTCTGCCCCTCCAGCCTCATTGCCTGAGGCTGCCTCCTCATGGTCCTCCTCCCAAAGGTCCCTTTAAACCTCCTCTGTGTCCACAAACTCACTCTGCTTCTTCACATACGAAGGTCCCTGCCCCAGCTGGCAATCTCCTCTATGCACTTAAAAACAAGTGCAAACGTTAGTCTCTGAAAAAGATTTTCCCCACTTTCCATGCAGTTTCCTCCAGCAACAATTTGTTCTTCCAATTATTTTGTCTGTCTTCACTAGACTTCAGGCTTTTGGGGGCAGGAACTGAGTCTTAATCCCTGTGGATCCCCAGCACCAGGCACCGCAGCTGGTACCCGGCGGGTGTCCCATCACCATGTGTGCAAATGAATAACTCTGAGCCTCTGAATGGATGCTGGTGCCATAGTTCTTTTGGAAGGGCTCATCTGTAATTCCCTTCCGGCCCCACCCCCCACCCCATCATCCCACAGTGGGGCTGGAGTTTGGGGAACAAGTTTGAGCTGGGAGGCGAGTCCCTGCCTGGAAGACAAGGCAGAGAGAGCTGCAGGGAAGGATGCTTTACCTGATTGGGGCGGTCGAATTCTCCAGCTTCCACCAGGCCTTGGGGGGGTTCAGGTAACGACACCACAGCTCCCAGTCAAAGCCCTGGGCGGCCAGCGGGTACTCTTCTATCTCAAAGTTGTCATATTTGATGTTGTCAAAGGAGGGGGAGATGATCCGCTTCCGGTTCTCCTTTATGCGGGTGAGCACAGGTTCAGCCCTGAGCGAGAGGAGGGGAAGGACGGTAACTGCTTCCAAGGTGTCCAGCTGGCGACCCCTAGAGCTCCTTCCTCCCCCCACCCCTGCAGGAAAATGAACAAAACGCCTGGCCATCTGCTCCAGGAGCACTGTTTTGCCCCCAGGGAAGGAGTCCCTATTTAACCTCCACCCCTCTCCCTAGACTTGTGGGTTGGCAAGAGGCCTGGGCACTCCTGCAGCTTGTCTGGGGCTGAGCTGAGAGATTCTTCGTGCCTTAGATATTTGTGTCTGCTTGCTTTCACTTTTTCTACTAGAAAAAAAAAAAATCAAGACCCAAGAAAGAAGAGAGGAGGAGATCTGAGGTTCTATGGGAAGCTTTCAACTCAGGCTTTGATTTTGCTAAAATTCAGTGTATCAACCAGGAGGAAAAGGCAGATGACAGTGGCAGAAGCATGGAGGTGAGAAGAAACTTACTTGATGCTGCTTCAGTCCTTCCACCCCATCCCACACGCCCTCCACTGCCCAAGGAGAGGCAGGGGGTAGGACTTCCAGGCAGCCAGGAGGCCCCCATGGGCACCAGGCACATAAAGTGTTTGCAGACAGGAATGATGAGCTTCTTATTAATAATGCATTTGTTGCGTAATTGTTTATTCAAATCAGCTTGAAATAGTAAGTGTCCCTCTCCTCTTCTGGCCATAAATCCAGTGAAAATGCTTTTTAAATAGTCACAAATGGCAAGCAGGGACTTCAACTATAAAAAACAGCTTCATTGCAGCCTTAATTTGGGCCTGTTATATAAAAGTATGCCCAAATCTAGTCATGCTGCGTGCATGCCCGGCAGCTCCTTCCTGCTAAAGGGCCGTCCTCACCCTGGGTCTCTACTAAGCCACACACAGTGGGCCAGCCACAGCACACCCCCGCTGGCCCTGCAGGGATGTCAATGTCCTATCCCTGATTGGCTGCAGCCACTGAGTCCATATGCCTTTTCTCTTGCCCCACACAGCACCTCAGCAGCCCTGACCAGAGAAAGAAAGGTTTTCTAAGACACAGTTTCACCAATAGGAAGAATCTGAGATTCTATGCTACGTCTGGGTTGGCATTTGGGGGAGCCCAGGCCACCCGTGATAACATCAAGCTACCTTAGCCCCTTCTCACCACTGTCTGCTTCATGTCTGGTCCAGCTGTCCCTTGCCCAGCAGTTGCAGCCCTGTCCTGAGCTGGGCTGGAATTCTAAGCCTTGCCCTTAGTATTTACCCTCTCCCAGATCCCATCTCCTAGAGGAAGACACTAGCCAGAGTCACACCTGATGTCACCATACCCTTTAGACACTGTGTATTGACCTGTTGGACCCTGACTCCCCCCACCCTGAAGGGCCAGCCTGGTGGCCTATGTCAGTCACACATCCAGACCTCATCTGTTTCAAGAATTCTCTCCTTTCCCGCACTAGGACTGAGATCCCAGCATGCTTTGCACTCATTTGCGCCAAAGCCCTGGACCACACTGGGACTTCTCCTCCTCTCCTGATGGGCACTTACCAGCCCACATTGAACTCCACATGGGCATCAAAGAGTGCCACTACGGGGGCGGTGGCCACTCTCCAGCCGCTGACTCTGGAGCGGATGAGGCCTTCCTGCTTGCTGTGGCGCACGACCTTGATGAAGCCCGGCTTCTGGCCATTCACCTTGTCTACGTACTCCGTCAGCTTCTCCTTCAGCTCCTCTGGAAGGGAGAAAATGCATCGTTAGCATGAGGTGGGGAGGGGCGATGAAAACATTCACCCTTTTAGGTGAGAGGCTGGAGGGTCCATTTCCCTCCCCAGGTCTCCTTAATGTTCCCCAGGATGGCCAGGGCCGCTCAGCTTTGAAGGGAAAAATAGAGGCGAAAACAATTTTTATTGAGCCCGGCAACTTGCACAGGGTCACATGCTTCACACATACTGTCTATTTAATCTTCACAACAAGCCCATGGGAAAATGGGGCTCAGAAGGGTTTCTCAATTTGTCCAATGCCTTGCAGCTTGCGAGTGGCACAGGCTGGTTTCAAGCCGGGTCTAATGACTTCAAAAGCCGTATTCTTCTCATCAGCTCAGTGGCCTCTTTCTTCCCCTGTGCCCTCCACTGGTTCTCCCCTAATGCCCAAAGAAAGCTTCCATCTGCGAAGATTACAGCCCGGGACCCGTTCCTGCCTGGATCTCCATCCTTCCGGGAAGTGGACGACCAGGCATTATGCCCTGTGAGCAGTTGGCATTGGTTTGCCGCCTGCTGGTGCCTGGCTAAGCATCTGATTCCCCTGCTACTTCGTAAATGTACATGGGTCCTGCGGTCCCCTCGCCCCTCAGCCAGAGACGGCACGGCAGCCACGCTCGTTGGGTTTTCCACAGCAGTTTAGGCAACAGCCTGTGACACTCCTTTTCCCAAAATGACCCTAGTGGGCTGCATTCTCCCACCTGCCATCGCTGCACCTCCCCAGCACTCGATTTCCACCCTTTGCCTGTGTTCTCCAGGACCGCCCTGGCAGGAGTCCTCCTCCTACCTGCACAGCCTGCCCACGCTGTGGGATAGACCCATTGGGCTGAGCCTCGTCCTCATCAGAGGACAGCAGGAGCTCCGTGTCCCTTGGTGCCCAGTCTGGGGTCCTGCCAGACAAGCAGCCTGCCGTGAGAAAAGGGCAGGAGGTGGCCAGCACAGTGCCTGGCACCTGGCAGGCGTGCCCCAGAGCAGCAGCCCTGTGTAGTGGAAAGAGGGTGGTATTTGGAGGCAGCAATGATGCAGTTTAAGTCTGCTTTCCAGGTAGGAGCGTTATGATCCTAGGCCTGTTCCTCAACGAGTTGTTGATGTCTCTGAGGATGTGGTGGATGGTGGTGGATGTATTTCACGTGTGGTAAGGACGCGGATTTTGGGGAACCACAGGGTGGACTGTTAGGGATCAGCAAAAAGATACGCTGAAGCCTAGCCTCTAGTACCTTAGAATATAACCTTATTTGGAAGCAGGGTCTTTGCAGATTTAACCGAGTCAAGATCATTAGTCCCATGACTGGTGTTCTTATAAAAGGAGGAAATTTGGACAGAGAGACAGGTGCAAAGAAGGAAGATAAGTAAGGAGACATAAAGAGAAGATGGTTACCTACAAGCCAAGGACCATCTGAGGGCACCAGAAGCTAGGAGAGAGGCCTGGAACAGATCCCTCTCTATCACCTTCAGAGGGGGCATGGCCCTGCTCGATTTGGACTTGGTTTTGGACTCCAGAACTGTGAGACAATAAATTTCTATTGTTCCAAGCCTCCCAGTTTGTGGTATTCATACAGCAGCTCTAGGAAACTAATATAGTTGTTATGAGGATTAAATGGGATTGACATGTGAGAAAAATGCACAGCATATTGTAGATGCTTAAAAAAAAAAAAAGCTCCTTTTCCTCCTTCCTCGGGTCCATCACATTGGAAGTTTTAAGAGAAGAAGGAGCCGCAAATCCTTCTTCATGTGCTCTGGTCCAGGACCACCTCTTCCTGCTCTGCCCTGAATCTAGGTTAGAAGTCCATAAGCAGCAAAGCCCTGGCGGCCAAGCAGGAGATTGGAACACGTGCAGGGACCTCATGGTCAGGGCAGGCCTTGGGGCATGCCGGCTACTGCCAGAACTGGTGTGCCCTCCTATAGACATCGATTTCAGATCTTTTTACACATGATGGTGGCCAAACAAACAGGGCTGGCTGGATGGGTAGGATGTCATCCCTAGGCATCCCTGCTCGAGTGATCATCATGGAGGTGAGGAAACTGGGCATCAGAGGCAGAAATGCTTAAAGGGAGGCAGGAAACGCAGGTGCTACACAGCTATCAGCTTGCTCTGTGACCTTGGGCAAATCCCCATGAATCCCAAGACCTCAGAGTTAGTTGCACAGGATTTTAATGTTCCTTTTGAACCAATTACCCATCTAAGATTTGAATCGCCTCTGTCTATCCTGATGAATGATCATCCGGCCCCTGCAGTGACCAGAAACACAGAGTCCATTCCTTACTGGGCCATTCTAAATATCCAATGTTGTTCTTCTTCCTTTTGCCCCCCAAATTCCAGGGTGCTTCTACCTTTCACTCACTGGTTCAAGATTTACTTAGGGGCCAAAGGGGGAGAACCAAAGCCCTCTTCCACATGACAACCACTTGGAGTAAAAGGCCATCCTTAAGTCCTTGCTGAGGATTTCTCTAGGTCAAATGTCTTCAGTGCCTCTGTATACTTCCTCACGTCTGGTGAGTTCAGGTTCTTTTATCATGCTCAGCTTTCCTCTAAATCTGTTAGTTTTTCTTTAACACTTAAATTATGCACCTAGAAATTGGCCTAATACTTATGGAGTAAATTGGGCTATACAGAATAGAATGAACTAATCACCTCCTTTATTCTAGAATCTATACCCCTATTCATATAGTTGAAGGTCTCATTAATTTTGGCCTACTTTTGACTCAAATTGAGCTTCTTGGGAACAGACAATGACACATCCTTTTCACATGTTGCTGCTAAGTCAGGCTTCCTTCATCCCGTTTCTTCACAGATGCATACACATGTGGATGCATGCATGTGTGTGTGCGTGTGTGTGTGTGTGTGTATGCATGTTCTGAGCCAAACCATTAGGATCTTATGTTTAGTCTGCTTTTATTCCATCTTTTTAAAGATTTACACCGTTTCTCTGAAGTCAGAGTATGTTCTTCCCTGATTCTGTTATCCAATGGCTTTGTTATCAAGCCCTCCAGCTTTCCTGCTTCTGCAAGAGTGATTAGCACATGGCCTTTATTGTCATTCGACTCATCCTTTTACACAGAGTGACCCTTGTGCGGAGTTGGGGCCAATGAGGCTGGTCGGTCAGGTGTTCTCATTCCATCCTGGAGAAAACTCAGCTGACTTTCAGGCTGCCATTCACATGCAGTATCTCTCACTTCAGCTGATGTGAAAATGACCTCGAGATCTCCAACCACACAGCTGGCTGGGGAGGCCTGGGGATGCCGCCGTCTGCAAGTATCAGGAAGTCGGCCATAGAGCGGCATAGCTCAATGTGCCCCGTGCTTACAAGGTCTTCAAGCGTGGCTGCCAGGAGGCCTCTTGAAACACTGACTGTTCCATCTCTTCAAAGGTCCACCTCTCATATATCCTTTTCGAAATTTTTAAGTAGAACTCATAAAGCCTGGTATTTGGGCTTTTGATAATGGCAGTTAAGGGCTGAGTCCAGGAGCTTGGAGTGAGAACAGAGCTAGTACCAAATGACACCCTTCTCCACCCCCAGGGAGGACATACCTGTCCCCTTCTGTCCCTCCCCACCCCTTAGCTGAGAACCACTGCCTCCTGTTGTTGGGTTTACTGACGGGATAGGGCTGTGGATGACTGCCACCCTGTGATACTCCATGAATCCCCCCTTCCTGAATTCACGTCCTTGTGTAGCCATCTCACAGGCTGAATCCGGGCTGACCATAGGGCAAGAGGATGCAGGGGGGAGGGATGTGAGCTGGTGGCGGGCCTAAGCCTCTGGAGGCCTTGCAGCTTGAACTTTCATTGTTTTGTCTGGCTGCCTTAAGTAAGGAAGCCTGAGACAGCCTCCTTGAGCTTGAGAGGCCCAGTGAGCCCCCATTAATTTAGGCTACCCCACCAAGGCCCAGACAGTGAGTGAGGCCATCTCGGATCCTTCTGCTGATTGCAAACGCGGGGTTGGGGGGAACCCAGCTGACACCCCATAGAACAGAGACAAGCTGCCTTGTTGCAGAACTGAGAGCCAGTGAATGGTTGCTGTTTTAAGCCACTTACTTCTGGGATGGTTTGTTATACACAGAGGCTAACAAAACAGGCTCTGTTATTCTGGTGTGGTGCTGAGGTTCGGGTAAGATTGTGAACTCCTGATGCACAGGAAATGTGAAGAGCCAGACACACACAGAGAAGAGCCACTTAGAAGGTGGCAGCAAGAGACAAGAAGGCTTTGCTTCTTGTAGGAGCTGCTGGCCCCTTCGTGCCTCTGCGCCCTGTTAACGGAAGTAGGATAAAGGTTTCTGGTGGACTAGCTAGAGGGAAATTCTGTTCTCAGCCCGTTGCATCCCAAACATTGGCTACTGATTAGAAGAGAGCATTCCCTTAGTCCTGACCAAACAGCTGCTATCAAAAATCAAAACAGTCCTGAAATACTCCAGACAATATTGGCTCATAGTCTTTGCAAAGTGTCTTTACCTAATTAGGTATTCATGTTTTCCTTCAACTTTTACATTGCCAAAGAGAGAAAGAACTATGTCAAAAGCACTTCTGCGTTTGCTAGGAAACCATCGCCCAAGATACTGCCTATTATATATTATATGTAATATATAATATATATATGACAAATGCCTCTCAGAACTTAGTTCAAAAAATATATTTTCTTTATACCTACACACAAATACATAACCCCGCATAGTTACCTTTTTGCCAAGGCTGCCAGGAAGCTCAGAGAAAAAAATCTAATGCCTAATCACAGGGTTCAGCATTCTTGCTTCTCTACCTTTGCAAAAGATTTGATTTTCAACTTCTAAAGTCTGCATTATTTTACTTTTTTCCCCCCCCGTGTGAGCTACCTTTATTTCTTGAAATATCTACAAATAACTTTTAACAAAGTGTCTTGGTAGAGCAGGGCAGGAGCATAATTATGGAAAGAAGGGGGAGGCTGTAGGTCACGTTTGTTTTAATGTGTTGGGCAAAGACGAGGTGGGGAGTCTGCTCTCTGCG